CACGTATTCAACCTCACTTATGTCTTCTACTACCCCATTGGAAGCCTCGGGACGCTACAGTGGTGGCAGCGGAAATCGAACCCGACATCTTATTAACGACTTCTAGGTATAGGGTTGCTTTTGAAAGCGACATAGTGTGTGGGAAAATGTGTTGCCCAACAGACACCACTGTCCTACTGACATCCTACGTTTGCCTTGCTAAACTTTGCCAATTAGCCGACTGATTTCCGGAAAAGAACAGTACGAACAAACCGACGAGCAACGGTTCGATCGGATGATGCACTGGTTCAATACATGCAAATACCTCAAAATCGGGTTCCCTCGGCTGGAAAGTCGAAATCTTTATTTTTACGACAGGAAGGTTATAATCCAACCAACAGACGAGACTGCGAACGGATTCTGCTTCTTAGGGGAGAAATCCAAGATTAAGAAGCGCACTCTAGCAATCATGAGCTGTACATGCGTAGAAGGAAGTGCAGTAGAAAAAGATACAGGCGAAAACGGGATGTGAATTGAAGGGGGCGCATTTACCTTAAAGACGGAGGATCCCTGGACCCTTCACGACGAAAGGGTTGAGAGGACGTCTGCATTTGGTTTCACCTTTATTCCCGTGTTCCACAAACAAGCTATTAACAACTGAAGCGACACCGCCGTGAAATATCTGAAAAAGTTTCGTATGGGAGTTTTCCATACAGAATCCGTGTGTAGGTGTCGGAAATGACACAACGGATCTCCTCGCATTAGGGACAGTGGCCCGTCCCCTTACCTCTGTAACATATCTGTTGTAGACCAGAGTTCCACCATGTATTCCTGGAAGCAATTGATGGTCGACAGATGTAGGGGTCCTCGAATCTGGTTGTCAGACCGAACGAAACTCCAGATCCAGTTGAAGCTGCCGAGGAGATCAGGTACGGTTCCTCGCTCTCGCGTTGTCTGTCGAGTGGCGCGGTTGGCTCGTGGGTGCTTTCCTGTAGTACTGAATATGTTGTGATGGCTGGAGCATGAGGTGTATTAAAGGGGAGCGCCGAGGACGCCGCTCAAAAGAAGTGAGTGTAATGCTTTGTTTATGCGACTATCTGACGTTTGGCGAGCACTTTAGGACTTGTCTGGGCCCTGTACACGTGGGCTGGCCTTCGGGCCACGCTCAGGCCCCATTTCTCCTATTGCTTTTGGAATACACGTATTCAACCTCACTTATGTCTTCTACTACCCCATTGGAAGCCTCGGGACGCTACAGTGAGGGCAGTGCAATGCTTTGTTTATGTGACTGTCTGACTTTCGGCGGGTACTCCAGGGTTTGTTTGGTCCTTGTACGTGTGGGCTGGCCTTCGGGCCATACTCAGGCTTAGTCGTTTCGTTCTCTTCGAAAGACATGTATCCATCCTCACTTACTGCCTTCTTCCACTCTCTGAGAAGTCTCGGGACGCTATGGATATAACAAAGGATGTGGGTAGTGGTGAGGAAGGTCTTACAACGATCTGCTTAAGACCCTAAGGTGATGGGTTCAGTACCAAGGCCAGCGACTACACCGGCATCCATGGGTCTTTCTTATTCATATGCGTATGTATCTATGCCATAACTGTTACCAATGTCACTATGAAATAGGCTTTTTAATGTCACTATGTAAGCACAAATTTTATTGTCATCCACACGCCTTCGCCTTTCATGCCACTTTCTGGTCTTAAGAGCATAAGGATATATAAGAAAAGGACTTGTAAATTTTGGGTAGCAATTTACAAAATACACTCGGTTTTACCAATTAGCTTATAAAATGCTTTAAAATTAATTTTTTGCGTTTATTTAATGTACTATAATTGTTTGAACGCATCGGACGAGGCGACACAGCTTTAGATCACGCACTACGGCTTTGACTTTCACGGATTGTGGTCCCATAGAGTACTTAAGGACTTCACACTTAGTTATGCCGGTTCTTATTCCCAGAGCTCTGCAGGGATTGTATTTTCTATGTGAGCCAATAGCTGACGGGTCTTTTGGCAAGTTATATCTCGCTATTCACGCTCTAACGCGTCAACATGTTGCAATAAAGATAATCGAAAAAAAGAAACTTGGGGTTGTCTCTGGAGTTTTTTGCTCATTATTTTCATAGGCGGAAGTCTTTCGCGTACGTGGAGAAATTGAGGCCCTCAAACGGCTTTCTCATCCCAATATTTACTCTCTTTATCAGGTCATCGAAACAGATGGCACCTTCTACCTCATTTTGGAGGTTTGACATTGCTGTTAACTGAACTTTTGTCAGTATGTTCCTGGTGGTGAGCTGTTTGATTATATCCTGCACAATGGAAGTCTACAGGAGTCACATGCTAGGGTTTTGTTCCGACAGCTCGTTTCTGCAATTGGCTATTCCCACTCAAGGGGTATAGCTCATCGTGACCTTAAACCAGTATTCACTGCATTTTTCTAATATTTATTAATTTAGGAGAACATATTGCTGAAAGATGAGCAGAACATTCGTGTCATTGATTTTGGTCTCTGTGCGAAGGTTTTTATTTTCTTATTTTATTCACTCTCTCTTAGAACGCAGACAATAAATTTCTTACTACGTACTGTGGATCTCTGGCCTATGCTGCTCCTGAAGTTCTTCAAAATCAGGAGTACAACGGCCCTGCGGTAAACATATGATGCTGCTTTTGCTTTCCACCACCGCGCGCGCACTGATGGAAACCTAAATAGAACAGAAATAGTTGACTTTCTTGTTCACTGGTTATGTTATACATTTAATGTTCTCTTTTGTCCTTGATGCAAATCTACTGCAATGTATTTGTTTCACGCAGGCCGACATCTGGTCCATGGGAGTCATACTCTACGCTATTCTCTGTGGCTCCCTACCCTTCGATCCATCTAAACCCGAGAAGTTACCTAAACTCATTATGGTTAGTTCTGCACTTTGTCTTGAAACCTCTATGCTTCCCTGCAGAAGGGTCAGTACACTATGGATGAATCATTGAGTGCTACTGGTCGCGATCTCCTCGCTCAAATGCTTTGCGTTGACCCCACTGCAAGGATCAGTATGGTAGAGCTCAGTACTCACCCTTGGGTCATGCATGGTTTCGATACGCCCATCGATATTTTTTGCGCCGAGATGAAGCTTGATGCTCCCCTGAATCAGGATATTGTGCGGGAGATATCTCTCTACACCCGCATACCTTACGTGGAGATGACTCGTATGCTGCGCAAGGTGGGGTGCCCATTTTCCTATTCAGATGCTTTATATTTATGATCACAATTGTTTATTCTGTCGCTGAGTTCGAAGAACTGAAGTTTTCTAATTCTGTGCCAGATAGTAGACAGTGGCGAGGTTGGAATTCTAATCGAGATTCTTTGACTTTCAAAACAGGAACCTATTTTAGAGAAAATATTATTCCTTCGGGAGGCTTTTGTAAACGTCTTTCACCATGGCCTAACTGGTCAACATTATACAGCTTTTGTCGAATATTTTTGGGGTTAAATTAGCATTTCATGCCTGGCCTTCATCACGAGGGACTCATCTCTTCTTGAAAAGTGGTTCCATGGAATAATAGGAGAGGAGTTCAGGCTCAGATACTTCATGAGTTTAATTGAACACTTACAGGAATGCCTACCATGGATTCGAAAGCACCACACAAGGTGCCGCTGTTGGCAGAAGTGGATCTAAAGTCTGTATGAGTGAAATTTCACAAGTTTCTTGCTCACTTGATAAATATATGCTGTGGGCTCTGCTCGATGGTCAATCAGTTTGATTTAAAAATCCTTTATTCGTTCGGTCATCGTTTCAGCCCGTACTATTTTAATCTGTGCTGGTTAGAACAATCCAAATCCACTCTTGGCTTCTTTTATAGAGAGCCTTTGGTCCAGAGAGCTCTTTTTTATCGTTTCTTCTTTCGTACTAAAGTCGAAGCCAACCCGTTGAATTATCGGTCTCATTACTTCCTAATAATTGCTGTATTTCTTAGTCATAAGTATTATGTTCTGAGCTGTGTTCATTTGTTTATGCACTGGATGAGTTTCAAACAGCCTTTTGATTGTTCTGTTCTTCCGTACTGAATTTTAGGAAAATGAGTCGACTCTGGTATTTTTAATGGTATTAGTAGCACTACTGTTGTTCAAGTCGAGATTATTTTGATCCACCTCCCTTCATTGTCTGTTTTATTCTCGTCTTCTTATGCAACCTCTTTTCACTGTACCGGTTGTCAGATAAGATAGTTAAAAACTGTAAAGCTAAGGGTATTGAATAATGCGCCGACTGAACAGTTACGATGCTGCATACTGAAGAACAAAAGCGGTCAATTTTGAGCGGATGGCGCTGATCGTCCCTGTGCGAAACGGTGCCCACCTATTCACTTAACTATATTCCTTACCGATCTGGTTAAGTAAATAATGGATTGATATTCGAAGATCAACTTAAGTTGAATTTTATCCCTGCGATTATTTGCGTGCGAGTTGAGATGGATATTTTGGTGCATGCATCCATCGCTATTGTCTGGCATTCGCTTTAGACTAAACCCAATTAGATCCTCTCATAGCCTTCGTAATTATGGTTTTTTTGATCCAGGTCCCTCGTCCATTCTCATAGGGTCTCTGGGTCTCATTTAATTACCTATTCAGTCCCCGTTAAAGAATTCTTTAACAAGTAGCATACCTTTAGTTTGTCTTTTTTCTCCCAGCGTCCGTACGATTACCTTATGGCGACCTACCTAATAATGCAGCGTCTCTACGTGGAGGAGGACATCCTCCTCCTCCTCCAGCGTCGGTCTCAAAATCCACGCTCTATCGCCGGCAGCGAAGAGAGCACTACCTCCGCACCGTTACAACCTCGATTGCGTTACTCTCTTCGACCCCATCGCCATGTTTGTACCACTACATCAAACTCCGAGGCTCTTCGCTCTCATGCCAATTCGAAATCATCTGCTGACGCTGCAACTTCGGTACCGACACCAATAACACACAAAGTGGGTGGAGGACCTCCGTTCCCCCTCTTAGCTCATTCCGGTTGGCTAGGCTGTCGGTAGAATGAGTCATCGAATTGGAAAGTTTGGGACAGTTTTGGGTGGAGCCTTGGGCATGGCAGTGGGCATGTGATACGTCTGGAAATGACTTTGCTACCACCATTGAGAAGGTTGTGTGCCAGTTTGTGCATGTGATACAAAGTGTAGGCGTAGGTCAGTCTGCCATCGGTGCGGTAATCTTTCTTCATCCTTCTGTATTCCTAACGCTCCATGCCCACGAAACATACGTGTTGGGTGAACGCATCTAATGAACGTCATTTGGGTTTGCCCACCTTACAAATCCAATAGATCGCATTGAATGCACTTTTAGATTCATAAATGCAACGAGTTGTTTTACATTAGAAACTAAAACTAACGGGTCTCAAGATCTTAAGGCTCTTTAAACGGTTTTACGAGACAATTTCATTTTTGAGGTTCTGCACAGTTATGAAAAACCGCTTGACTTTGTTCATTCATGCTACTTCTCCTGGGTGTTGCTATAGCTTTTTGGATAATCGAAAATCGCATGATTTCCCACTAGGTGGAAGGGTCTAATGTTAAGTAAAACTGTTACTCGTGGTGACGTTGTTGAATTTGAGGATTCTTACACTTCTTTTGTCAAAAGCAATGTTGATTATAATCATGAACATTTTCACGACTGCGACAATGCGTGTGTTCTCCGGTCGCTGCAAGAACTCACTTGGTTACCTTGCATAATATCCTCTTCCTTTATGCAACCGTATTCTTCACAGGTGTCCCTTTTCTATTTGGATTTCATGATTCCTGACATGGAGAAACTTTGTCTATCTGCTTTACATTTAGTCTCCCTTCATTGCTGGCATCGCGTCGAATTCGAGTTGCAATCGTTGCCAACTGACACTGTCATCCACTCTTTTGGCCACCTCCAGTTGATACACTCTCTAGGCGATCTTCCTGACCTAAGTATTATGCATTCATCATCATTGAAGACGTTGTGGTCCACATAATTGCGAAGTTCTTATTCATTTTACTTGAGAACCATCAATGTTGGGGTGTTGCAAGCAGACGACGGATTTCAGTGCATTTTAGGCTTTGACGATTTTCAACGTGAATGCCTTACAATTTAATCCAGGTAAAATTGACTTATAGAGCGCTCTCACTGACAACAACATGGCGAACCAAACAGGGATTCTTGTACCTCCTGTGTCGTCAAAACGAAGTGTTGGTCTCCAGACTCCCTCAAGGAAGGAAGGTGAATTAAGTTCTTTTCTGTTGCCCACTGTTGTCAAAAAGTGATGCAAAGAGTTGTCCCATCTTCCCTTTTCTCAGTTCCCCAAATCGTCACTCTATCACCCGGCCGTTCTGTTGATTCTCAACTCAATCAGCTGACCAAAGATCTGCGTCTCAGCAATCCTGACGACTAGTAAGCGAAACTTGTTAACTTTTTAATGGACACAAATCCATCACTCTTACTAAAATCCCATGAGGCATACCAATAAGGGCGTTTTGTAGACAGCCAAGTGACCGTAGATGCGGACAGGGCTTCATGGAAAGTGCTGTGGTGAATCGAACCGATGAAGGTAATCATTCGAGCCGTAACAACCGAGAACATCACTAATGAGGTCATGATCGTCCCTCAAAACATTCTGCTGAACGGCTGAGCACTCTGGTATTGGATATCGTTCCTCATGTTTTCAGTATTACTATGGTCTTTGTATCCTGCGAATAGTATGTAAATATACGATTCGCACGGCATTTACTGTGTGCAGAGCCAAAAGATCCACGACAGGAAGGTTGAAGCTTGTCAAACGCTTTGTTACGATATGCATCCTTTCTTACGTTATAGCAGTTCTCGTCCACCCTCAGAGCAATTATTTCCACAAGAGGAAGTTCAGGTGGATGTAGACGTGGAGGAGGTGAAGGGGGACACCAAGACAGCCAATAGCGCTGGAGATTTGCTAAATATTGGCTTTAGAGTCTACGATACAACGGCAGGAACGGTAAATTCTAGCAGATGTTCGCATGACAGATGTAAGTCAGCGGTATTTTCGTTTTTCGTTATCGAGTTCAGTATATGCTTTTGGATGGATATTAGCCGTAGTGTTGCCTTCATATGATCTTAGTCGGTTTACATTATTTCTGGAAGGTAGTTTTGCTATGAACAAAGAGAATGACTGAGAGTATACCAGCAAGATTTCACATCATCGCAGGAAAATTACCCCAGTCGATCACTTTAGGTACGCTCTTCAATTTGGCCAATAGGTAGTGTACATCAGGAATATTCTATTGAGCTGTCGGTAATGTTGAACTTGGTTAAGTTCCATAGCCCTTAAAGGTGATTTGAATATGGGCTTTACTGTGAGAATGATCCGCCATGTACGTACACCTGCAAGCGATGATTGAACCGACTGGATGTTTGATGCTGATTTTTAAGACAGATCGAAATGGTTATCTTTTGGCAATTGGGTGATCTTGACTCGCACATTGCGGGGAAAACATTGAAGGCAGCTACAATTTAGCGTGAATTAATAATGCAGTACCGTTTAGGTTACCAATACTTGAGAAAATTTGAAAGAAAGGATATTTGAGTGGTAAGTCTCTTCTATTGGACGCTTATTACAAAGATTTGGTCGGCTGAGTAAAAATTATAATCGGCTGGTAATATTGAAACCTGTGCGAAGTCTCACTAAATATTCACCAATTTAGATAAATTAATGGTGAAATTCTACTTTGCTGTTGAGATTTAATCATTGGAACTGAAATCTGTTCCCCCAGACAATGTTCATGCTGGGATTATGCGGCCAGTTTGAAGCTGGCGTGGAAGAAATACTGACCCGTTTTTTTTCACATGGTTCGAACCCTTCTGATGTTTGCTTTAATTGGTTCTTGTCACGTTGTCTTGACATTCGATCATCATGTGGCATTAACTAGACAGCTCTTGACTCGAAATGGTGCAATCAGCTCCAGTTTTTGCTGCTAGAGCAAGGAAACTAACAACTGGTACTTGTTTTGAGAGGCTGGTTACTGCTGCGGGATCAGAGTATTCTCGATCTTTGAAGTAGACGGTTTTGAATTATATTGAACAGGTTTAATTGAGAGTTGGAAATAGGAAAGAAGTGGCGCAGATCGTAATACGGTATCGTGCGAAATGGCTGCTGCACATTTGCTCCAGGTCTTAATGAATTCCCTTATAAGCTTGTTTCTTGCCTCAAAGTTGGTGTTTATCCCACACCGAGTAGGTCGTTTGTAAGGAGGGGCGTGGCTACGGGTCACCTAAGGCCAAACTGTTGTTGATTTTTTTAGATAAGCATCGTGTGATGGTAAGCAGATGTTTGTTTGGTTTGTGACCCCGTGGCTGAGTATTGTACCATCGTTTGAACAATACTCCTTACGGCAAGTGATTTTTGATGAAGTCGCATGAGGTAAACATAGAGGTGAAAGCTATGCGCACTGATTGATTCAAGGTTGTTTGGTTAAGGGAGGCGATGGGTGTGTCTATCTCCATGTTTGCCCATTACTTACTACTGTTTGTGTCCGTGAGCATGCGTCATGCTATGTTCACATGCCGAATAACCAAAAGGGTCAAATCTTCACTACAGGGTCCCTTATTACAGACCGCTATGGGTAAGCTCAAGAGTATGGTGTGCAAATGCGTGAATGCTGAGGCTCAGTGCATCCCTTCCTCCCCCTTCATTTCAATCCCTCTCTTCACTTCTATCACTGATTCGCCTTTGATTTGATGATTAATTTAACATTGGAAGTCCATCTGATATAGGGACGCTTTTGGCGATGGTAGGCATCTTCTGAACTATGTATCCATCTCCTCATTGATGTATGCTTGGTTCACTTTAGCCTCACACGTCTGTCCGCCTTCCCATCTTCCGTAGTATTGAGGTCATGCAACTGATTTGACAGCTGGAGTAAAGTGCTTTTAAAGGTTTTTATTAATGTGTGTTACGCTACTTTGTAGCTGGTGACTTCCGAGGGAGTGATCAGTCTCTCTCAAGTGTAATCAATAGTAGCGGGAGCGGAGGTGCATGCCTCTTGCGTAACATCATTCTGGCTCGAAAGGCCTCCTCTAACGCTCCTACTTCCATTACTCCTAACACACCGGCGTTGTCTTTGACAATCAACGGGGCACAACCGACTTTGGTTTCGAGTAAACTGAAGAAGATCCGCGTAGGTGGTATTGGCAGTGGTAATAACAGCAACAACAATGTGATGCTTGCGAGACCGGAACTCTCGGCTGGGGAAGTGTTGGATCGCATCTCGGAGTCCTTGAGACAGAACTCTATTCGATTTACGCTGAAGCGGTAAGGAGAATGGAGTGGAGGAACACCGATAGAACCTACTCACTCATTTGGCAATTCCTATCGACCCTGTTTATTAGTTCACTCTTTTAAACATCTACCTTAAATCCATCTCTCCTTGGAACTTCAATCCATTCATTTCATTGCTAATCTTTTGTCCTCCAATTCTAAATCCGTTCATTGATCTATCTTTTTTTCAAAGCTAATTATCCATCCAGTTGACTCTAAGGGACCCATCTATGATACTTGTTCCAACTTCATTCACAGAGGATTCATCCACTCACACTTTCTGGGTCTTTCAGTTTTGATCCATTTTATCCATCTTGTCACCTGTTTACGGTTTCTGTTTCAAATTATCTCATTCTCCAACTCAGCTATTGACGCACATCATTCTTCTGAAAAAACCATCAAATTTTTCATTATCAAATAACTTACATCTAATTTGTCACTCGATTTACTGCGAAATCATCTTCATATTTTGAGCTGCTTGCACGTGGTCCACTCATTAATGTGCTATTTTTTTCCCGTTTACGTCTAGGTTCTATGTGCCACTTGTGCATTTGGTTATGCTGAATCCGTCTTGCT